CGTGTCAATCAACAGGTATTGTACTTCTGCCGCGAATTGCTACTCAATACAATTGATAACAAATTCAAAATTAATTTACTTACATTTTTGTCTTGAATTATCTGGCTAATAGATTTTCTTAGTTGAGTAAAAGATGGTCGGTGTATTGGATGACGTCTCCAACATGAAGTCAGTAATTCGAATCTAAAGAGGTATATGTATTGACATAGTTTCAAAGTTGAGTTCTCATTGGTGGGATATTGTCTGTATTTAAAGCATTTACAAAATCACAAATTATAATTACATATGATTTCCACAATGTACTGGTTTTGGCATTCGATTTCCTTCTCGTACCATGCTGGTCACTTTTTGCTCAGACGCTCCTTGGTATGGCACTGCACCTGGTGTTAAACAGAATAACATAGGTGGATAAGATTGTCGTACACTATTTCTCCAACTTGACTTGACGCAGTTTTAAATATAAAATATATCTGCATAGCAGCGATGACGGTTTTCGTGCCTGCATGGCTCAAGGCAAATTGCACTTGCTTGATGTGATTATTTGATGAACGTTTCATGTCTAGAATGCAAGATGGAAGACAAACTACACAATATATGGATTTGATTTCACATGAATATTATAAACTTAATGCAAGGATTCTACATATCGAATTTTGTATCAGTCTGGCAAATAGTTCATGAGTTATAGATCTTTTTCTTTTTTATTAAATCCAAGATGACTGCCAATAGAAGCCATTTGTCAATAACCTGTTTCAGTAACTTTGTAGAGCTATCAACATAGGTGCCATAATCTAAATTGCTAGTCAAACAAGCGGTACAGTTTTTAAGAAGATATTTTTCTGATCTTTTTTTTTGCGTTTTTTTGATAAACTCAAGATGGCCGCCAAAACCACTTGAATCATGAGAAATATTTTCATGAACACATAATCATCATACTGAAAGGATGTTGTATGCCAAGTTTGGTTTAAATCAAGCCAATTGTTCATGAGTTATAGCGTAATTTCACTTTTTACTAAATCCAAGATAGCTGCCAAAGGAAGCCATTTTAAAAAAAATCTGCTCCAGAAACTTTGTAGAATGAGCCATTTTTAAATAGATTTTTTTCAAAGACCGCTAAAGATTTTATTGATGATATTTGCTAGACACGAGCCAATTATGCAACACAAAAAACCCGAAGTTTCTAGACCACCAGAAAATGATGCAATTGAGCACTTCCTGTTTGTGTACTACATAAGATGGCGGCCAGGTCATGTGACCTGCATAGCTTGTTTTTGGGTATGCACCACAACTCATGGCCCTTTATCAGCATACACAATGCCTAATCAATTGGAGCATTATTTTTTAAGTTACAATGTTTTAAAAAACAGCGGAATAATAATAATAACCAAAGCAATTACAATAGAGTTTCGCCCCATATGGCTAGAAACCCACAATTTAGTGTATATGAATACATATATTTACCCAGATTCACAATTTCCCACATGACTACACCAAAAGACCAAATATCACTCTTCAGTGAAAATCTTCTGTTCAACAATGTTTCAGCAGACATCCATTGATATGGATAGTTGTTCTAGAAAACAATGCATGATGTCTCATTAATGGTAACTCCTGTTCATTAAAGGTATACATAGATGACATGAAGTCAATTTAAGCAATTAAATAAGAAAAACTCAGCTGTACTTTTTTGATTCTTTCGTATACGGTATTGTTTATGTCTCAACAAAATCTTTCACGTAGAATTAGACATAGCCGATGGATAAAAAAGACGTTCTAATATATTTATATACCTGAGTTTTTTCAAAGAAACGTAGATCATCGATGACGTCACTTGCGTAGCTAAAATTGGATATTTTACATTGTCTATGGCTATTCATTAAGATATGCTCAGTGGTCAAATATCTGTGAATAATCTGGAATAAGAATAAATGACAAACGCATGTGTAAAACATTTGAAATATAAATAACATGTAATTAAATGGAAATATGTATAGCATTTGAAACCAATCTTTATTAGACGAAAGATTAGATCTACATGTTTGGCGAGCGATGTTAAACCAACCTTTAATTTAGACAGATGTCCCATTCCATTTGCAATGTCAACCATAAAATATAACAGACTGCTTTGATTAATATCCTTTAAGTCAGACTCGATGCGTTTAGAATGAAGATAGCATTTTAGATCTGATGACTGTAACTCCATTACTATATATCTAGGAACTAGGTATAAACGACATATTAATAAACAATTATCATGATGATTATTAACAAAACAAGAATCACTTTGTTTCAATGATGATGTATCGCCCACTCACCCGTGTCTGTGCAGCATCCAAGAAATTGTACAATATTACTATGATTCGATATATACTGCATTATTTCAATTTCCTTGGAGACCTCTTCCTCAATTTGATTGTTCAAAGGATCTACAAAATAGCATCTATTACCTTCATATATTATCTTCAAAACCTTCAAATGACATGGAATATTATAATCCACATGTCATAATAGTCAGACAAGATAATAATTGCCATATATGATTGTTATCAAGAGCCATATCAACAGAGACACATATGGCATAAACAGAGGAACACGTATCCATGAAAGACGTAACATTACTCACCGATGTTTTTCTTAATCACAACATCTGACTGACCATCTGTTCCACTCCAAGCAACACATTTTGTCAATTCATAGAATCGACCAGTAGATACTACACTTTTCATGCTTATATCATTTCTTCGAAATTCTAACAGTTTTTGTCCTGCTTTCATGTAAATATTTTCTTTTCCATCATGGTTAAGCGAGGCGTACACACTGTCATCGTTAGTAGGCTATTACAAAAGCAAAAATAACTATTTAATATATTTCCTGTTGGTGGTACAGTACGTTGTTGCATAACTCGTTTTGTTCAAAACTTTCCTATAGTAAGATCGAATAAACAATAACAATTTATATATTTTACCTTTTTTAATAATTTAGGCCTAACATTCTCGTAGGTAGCCACATTGATATCTGAGTCGGCAGGTATTGTACTATTTCCATAACCTAAAATACACAACGCGAATATATGGCTTACCATGTTTATTTAGGTTTTTATTATGTTGTAGTTCTTATTACCTAATTTAATCAAATAACAGATGTATGTAAACTAAGTCACATATATGATGAACAACTTAAATTCACCGCATACACGGCTGTATACATAATGATTCACACATGATATATGTATTCGAGGAGTTGTCAAATTAAGCAAAATTTTTTACTGTGCGATTTATTTATTTACTTTTTATTTATTTACTACATGCACACAAAAACTCACGGCGTGATTTAGTGTATATTTCATGATTAAAAAAGAGCAATCAAGCAGAGACATTGAGAGACTGATAATTAAACTTTGCAAGCATACTCAGAACATATATTCCAACTATGTGTCCAACAATACGTTATATTAATCAGACAGGTACATCCAAACCGCAAATCAACGGGTGTGCACGCTTATTTTGTTTCCGACATATTTAAGACATTCTAAATTGGTTATTGAATTAAACATGATTAACTAAACGTAATGATGAAAAAATAGATTGCATGTTTCAAATTGAGTGTAATATAACGGATCGTCAATCATTGAGTGTCACACAAACTTAGACCAAGATTACGCATGTCGTTTCCAGCAGGTTTCACTGCATGCATCTTCTGGGACAACTAGTTTAAAACAGCTGCAATATAGTCTGTAAATGTCCTGCAACACGTCTAGGTCGTGTAACCATATATAATGAAGGCATTCCGTTTTACTGAGATCTAATGCAATTGTTTAAATGACCCATTGATTTCTAATTTACCTGTTGAAGTTCTCTCCGGCAATTCATGGTGATGTCTTCCTCTTGCCATAGTGTCTGACAAATATTGAAATACACTTACTGTCGTTAATAAGTTGTACATGTACAGTAATTTTCGACAAAAGGCGTGTATTGTAAAACGTATGCTATATAAGTCTATATTAAATAATTCCATCGCTGTATTTCAAATATTGCAGTGCTATATATATATATTCACCATTATTCCGTTTCCCCTTTCTTCTCATGAGTACTATACCCACTGAAGTAATCACTGCAATTACTGCAACTATTCCAACCAAAGGGCCAATGTAAACACCAGGATTGATTGAGACGTTTTCAGGCGAGTATTCATTGCCGATGGGTGCTGTTATTTTGAACAAAAATGACAAGAACAGTATTAATTTACTCGAAGTTATTACCAATCATAAACAATGCATATATAATTTGCTTATCTAGAATGAGGTAGTATGAACGAATGAATTAGTGCGGTCAAGGACGTGTAGTATGTAGTATAATATTCTTAATTTTCAAAATAATTTAGATATGAGCTGTTAAACTTTGACAATTCTGATGGCAATAAAAGCATAATAAGAAGCACTGGTATAGAAAGTACAATGCACATTCTACATACCAATAACAATATAATTGGGGCAAACTACATTTACACGTTTGCATATACAGTGAACTGTCTAGCCAATCGAAAATGTATACACAATATGAAGAGAAAGCAAAGTACACCGTCAAAGCAGTGAATAAATAAGTACAGATACAACAATGATAAAAAAACATTCTCCAACCAACTATAAACAGTACTGCTGAATCTCATTACATTTGGACTTAATAAAAATGCAATCAACGTATTGCTACTAGTCATAGCTCTTAAGTAGACATTAACCATTGATTTCCTTCTCCTCGCCTCAAAAGAATAAATTCGATTATAAAAATAGGTATGAGTTATACTGGTATTGTGTCCAAGGTTAAGCAACATTCTGAGTGCATTATTTTATGACACACAAACACGATTAATTTGTCGTTTTTCAGTACATCACAGAACAGTAACTCAAAAACCTGTAGTTTAAAAACATTGTGAAAATCTGCCATTACGGCTGTTAACCCAGAGTCTTCAGAGACTACATTACGATTGTTTATAACAACACACAAATGTGAGTAGCTCTTTACAAATTTTACTGCAGATTCAGTTAAACATACCTTGGAATATGCTGAATCCTACATTATGGTGGAAATATAGAAATGCAAACAGACATGCAACATTCATCAACCAGAATGTCGCCACCAACAGTAGGTGCTTCATAAACATACCGCCCAAATAACAACAAACCTGTCTATCTACTAAGCGATCGCGTTTGTGTGTCATAAAATAATGCACACAGAATGTTGCTTAACCTTGGACACAATACCAGTATGATTCAAACCTATTTTTATAATCATATCAAGAAGCATTCAAAAAAATGTAAAATGCTTAACCCAATCAATGGGTTTTAGCGCAAATAAAAAGCACAGAAAGCTGCAATACTAGAAAACATAGACGATGGTAAAATCAATGTCATCTCTTTTGACTTATAGTTTCTTTGTCATACAATTGAATCGTGGATCGTACATGTATTATGTGCCACGAATATATACTTGCTAAATTGATTGGTAATTATTCATTAACTTTTCTTACCTGTAGTTTTAAATATGATAGGCTTACTTGGTTCACTCAAGGCAATCACATTCTCAGATGTTACATGTATTTCATATTCAGTGGATGAATTCAAGCCATCGATGTGATAAGGTGGCATTTCAACTTTATTTGATCTGATAAAATCATTGATATATATCTGTTTGTATGACACATGAAACCATTGTGATGATCCACCGTTATATCCTATATCCCATGTAATATTGACAGAGTCCCATGATATACCCGTTGTACTCACATTGGTGGGTGAATCTGGTTCTCCTTCAACTAGATATATGTTATAATATATATTAACAGTGTTATAAGTCTAATTTTACAGCCTCATATTGATATTACAATTATGGTTTAGTAATGTATTAAGTAGATTCAGATTGACAAAGAGTATTTAATAACACTACATACTTTTCCCAGACAATGTAATATTGAAGTAATCACTACCAATACTATTACCAGCATGACATGTATATACAATTTAGTATATACAATGTGCTTTGTATTGATCTATTAACTGCACAATTACATGGTTCATGTTTTATCACAACTCTACTCATATCTCTCATAAGTTCTACTGCACTACAACCAGTTACAATTGTATTGAAATCAACAACCTGACACTGCAATTAAGATTCAGTTATGTAAATTGACAAATATTGAATATTTAATAACAATACTTACTTCTCCCGGCCAGTGTAATATTGTAGTTATCACTACCAATAATATTACTAGCATGACATGTATATACACCATGGTCTACTTCAGGTATCACGTTCTGTATATACAGTGTACTTTGTATCGTTTTATTAACTCCATATGGTTCATGTATTATCACAACTCTGGTCGTATCACTCATAAGTTCCACTTTACTACCGTAAGTCCATGTGTACCACTTTATATCTGGTATTGGATATCCCATAGATGCACAAATAATGGTAGCATTCTGACCTTGATCTGCTGAACTTTCATCCAAAGTGTCATTGCAAATTACAGCAGAATCTGTGATTAAGGCATATAAATGAATAAATAAAAATATATATTATTGCATGACACATGTAAGGTTTTCTGTGGAAAAATCATTTTCTAAAAAAAAAACATTATTTTTTTTACACTTACATTGTACAATTATATTGACAAATATAGTCTGTGGATTATTCTGGACATCATGATTACTTTCACATTTTAATTTCTTTCCAAAGTCATTTCTATTTGGTATTATTGATAATTCACTAACTGTGTCTTTTTTACCATTGATATCCCATAATATTCTACTGTTGACATTGCTGGTAATTATATCATCATCTATATACCACTGTATACTAGCAGCAGGATGGGCTTTGATAGTTCTACATGTGATGTCAAATGATTCTCCTGATGTCATAGTAACATCACTGCTGTCATGGTAACCATCAAAATATAAATTGTCTGGAGATACTGTAAAGTATATAGATATCATGTCATCTCATGTTTTATGAATTCATCTTATTTAACACATGTATTTAAGGTGTTACTTTTGCTGTGCATGACTTACCATTCAAGTGGATACAACTATTTTGTGAATTGAATATATCTTAAGCAAACCATGTATAATCCGACCCCGTCACTATAGACTTCCTGATTTAAAACTGCAACCCAAATATATAATATGCCTACATAAAATTGTCCTCTAGTTGTTTCTTATGTATCTGGAATAGTCAGGTTTCATTGCACATAGTCAAAGAGTAATTTTGTTGTATTGTTAGATAGTACTAATATAATTTATTAATTCTAAGAATGCAATAAATTTATTATTAACATTACACATACACATCATTGTATGCAAAATCAAAACATACTGCAAACATAATTTAGATTGACTTCTATTGTTTGGTTCTAGACGATCGCTCAAATCGACAAACGGGCAATCGCCCGGATATTAACTCCAGACAGAAATTTGGTATTCTGTCCTAACGGATACATTGCACTTTATTCCAAGAAGTTATATTTTCTCCAGAGATGTTTCGTCACTAAATTACTAAGTTTTAATACATTCAGAACCGAATGCTATTGAGCATTCTGTTCGAAATACAGAACGAATATTGTGTACTATAATGTTTCCCTGCTATTCCATTAACTCAAATCTGGTCAAGTCAATGAAACCTACATTGGGCTAGTAGGATATAGGTAACAGTGTAATTAGCGAATAACGAGAAAAGATTTTGCTAGGATTGCTTTTGCTAACACAAGAACCCTGTATTGCGGCATTTTGTAATATTGGTAGGGGGTATCAGCGTTTTGTAATAATACTCATCGATTGAACAATCCCAAACAACAAACATAGTTGTATCATTACAGACATGACTAAATAAATAAATAAATAAAGGACTAAATAAATAAAGGACTAAATAAATAAATAAATAAATAAATGAGTAAATAAATAAATAAATAAATAAATAAATAAATAAATAAATAAATAAATAAATAAATAAATAAATAAATAAATAAATAAATAAATAAATAAATAAATAAGAAGCTCATGACACAACTGATTTAAATGGGCTTGAAGATTGGATGGGTGTGGCCGCAGAAATGTTTAGCACATAATCATTGAGCTGCAACAGTTCAATAAAATGCAGATAGTGTGCTATAAAATATAACCGACATTCATTCTGAAATGTATATAAGAGAATGGCAAAAATAGTTACAATATTAGATAAGTAGGTCTTAAACATTTAGATTTTTTTTTTTGGTTTTGTTCTTTAACACATGTAGTAATAAACTAATACATTTCAGTTTAAGGCATTTTTTTCGCAGTTCTTATATGAATTTATACTGCTTTACATGGATTCTTCATGAGTTTATTATATTTAAGGATGTTATCTGTAGACGTATGTGCATTATATCTTCTATATGTATATACAGTTACACGTATTCAGAGTCTTGTTGATTGCACAGTCGCAATTAACTAGACTCTGGTCCAAAGTGTGGTTATATATATATGTACACCCACACTATCGAGTGAGTATTTCAACGATTCATTGACTGGCCAAGTCTATTTTCCCCGAAGGTTTGAGTCTCACCCACAAAAAGACAACAAATATTGGACGTGATAATGAGTTATACTGATAATGAGTTATACGAATTGCTTCTGTTAGTACGAAATGCAGACTGTCAGATATAAACTCCAACATAAAAAGTACCGCGTGTGTTCGCTAAATATCCGCATGTTTATCACACGCATGACGTGGGTATGGTCATAGTATGACGTCATACATGAGCAGATAAAAATAATGTGACGTCACTATACGGAACTTTTCATATTGTACCCGGTACAAGTACAGCTTTTGGGTTGCTAAATAGTTCGAAAATTGCGGAATCAAAAAAGCAAAGTCTATGTATTTGGAAACTCATAGAAGGATTTTGTGAAATATTAGTTCGTCTTTTAAAATACTTGGTTGATTGTATGAAAAATTGTATGCGAAATAGAGCAAAACCGCAAAAGAAAAACCCAATCGAGTACCGATATTCGTGATTACCGACACTGCATATCGATCCCCGATGCGGCTCGGATTCTAACAGAACTCTGGCAGTAATCACAGTGTCTGCTGACGTCAAATAAATAGGAGATTATTTAAATTACAATAATATTTGATGGATTAAAACTAGGTTCGTTCTTATTTTTTATCATTACACATGGAAGCGAATTTCATGAATGACGTTTTAAAATATGCAGATTCAGAGGCCAGTGAGAACCATTTCGTTCATTGTTTTAAGTTTTATGGTGGTAACAAATTCACTGGTACTGGCAACTTTACAAAATAATAAAATAATAGGCCGTCTATTATCTTTTAAGTGAATATAATAAAACTGTAATTGTAACGTACGAGTTAAACATAAATGATATTAAACACGCCGTGCTTGCAACACATGAGTTATTAGTAAATACACATTTAACAATTATAACTTGTACTATTTATTTACTAATAACTCACAAAACAGCAGATATGTGGAAGTTGTGAATAAACATACGGCAAGTAGTGTGTAAATGTGAAACTATACAATACAAACAATACTGTGATGTAAATAAATAATAATGGCGCAGATCCAGGATTTTGGAAGAGTGTTTCTGTAATAACGGGAGTACGCAGTACGAATAAGCGGAATGGGTCGTGTGGTTGTTTAATCTCACAATGGTTCACAAATGATTGGAAGTTTTACAAAAACAAAGCTGAACGAACAAATGGAACTT